AACTATTATGTTAGGTACATTTGGATATCAAACTAGCCCAATATTTGGCTAGCCCAATATTGAATAAGTAACCAACTTCACGCTGGTTATATTCAATTGTAACAGGACATATTTTTTAAAGCTTTATAACAATATTAACTGCCAGCTCAATTACTTCAACAATAATGATGAAAGTCTATGTATCTGATCTGATATTCTACTAAGACCACTTGAATGCGAGGCACAATAAGACGGCTGTCTTCATACATATTTTGTGTAATGTTCTAGCAGCAAAATAATTGTTTATGCGCGTTGATTTTATTGAATTGGTTAAAAGGCATCGAAAACACAGAATGTTTGATAAACAAAGATATGTGTAAAGATTATTCATCAACTTTTTATACTTTTGAAACAAAGTCTGAAGATGAAGGTACTTAAAAGATGGTTTAACACCCTCTTTCCGTGTCGTTTGCGTTTAGTAACAATGTTCAAACGACATTGCCAATGGCGAATAACCACTATTTTTGACTTAAATAATTGCATGCTCTTTTCTCGATTTATGTTCAGGTCTACGTAATTAAGTATTTCTAGTTATTGTTAGTTTTGTTAAAAAAAAAATCGTTTGATGTTTTATATCGATAAATGATCCATGAAACAAACAAAAACGTGACAAGTGTGCAGTAGCTTATACACTTCCCGTCATAAAAAACGCCACTTTCCTCAAACCTGGTGTCACCCTGGCCTTTTTGTTCTCCAGAATCATCATCCCTAAAGAAATATAGGGGTTGAATATGGATTGTCCAGTATTCATGCAGAATGAAAGGGGGGGGGGGGATTTACTCTCACACTTAACATGAACGGCCTTTGCTTCGCTAGGGTCGCTCATGTGGTGTTTAAGTAAATTTTCCCCGTTCACACTTGCATAAATACTGAAAAAAATCAAGATTCAATCCCAATATGGTTTTCCTAATTTATGTCTATATAAACTGAGATGACGTTTATAAAAAAAATAGAGAAATCTTTAAATGAATTGTGTATACCCAGCCTATATTTGGTCATTACTGACGGTAATGTACTTTTACCACATTTGTTCTGATTCAGCTTTTTTTGTAAGTATGTACACCAATTTGCGTACTACCGACGATGTGGTACATTACATGTGGTGAACTGAAGACTAGGTTGTTTTTGGTAATGTTTATTTAAGAGGTGATACATTTTTCTCCCTTGTGAGTTGATGACGCGGTAGCTTTTATCAGAGTAGGTTAACGCCGTGGTTGTTTGTGTCTTCTTGTGTTACATGTCATCACATGGTACATAGTTTTCATCCTTCTACAATTGCGACGTTGTAGGTTTTATCCTGTGTTAAAGCGATGTGGTTCTAGTTTGGGTTTGTCATTATGGACGTACATGTACTAGGACATTGTCTTGTGTAATGACCCATCGGTACCGTTTGTCCTTGTGCATTGACGACGTGGTAAATACTGCAGCTTATGTATTAGATGGTACAACATTGTATCTGCTCTTTTCAAGTATTTGGTTAATTATAACTAGAAACCTAAAACCGTTTTAAAACTTATAAAGTCAATAAATACATGCAGACAAAGTCTTTTTGAATAAGCTTTACAGAAGGGAAGGAGCACATCCTCACATTATCGTTTGGTTCGACAATTATCACTAATGCCTACAAATAGTACCCATTATTTCATAAAGTTAAGTATTTCCACTATACAACTAATAATTGTGTAGTTCCGTCGATGAAAGTTATATCAGCATGGTAACAAGGTCAGACTTACTTTTGTTTACAGTTTACATGCTGTCTCACCTCGCCTACGTCTTTTGTCTGGAAGCTACGAATATCGATGCGATATTGATGACACACAATGCAATCAGAAGAAATTTCGCTAATGGCGTTTATGGATCCCATGCTGCAGACATGAGAAAACTGGTAATATTAGTGTGTCTAATTAATATCAGCGTAAATGGTCTTGTGCTGGCATATTTATTATTAGAAGCGATAGCAATTACGTAGATTTGGTCTGAGTTATCATTATTCGCATAGGCTGTTTTATTCTGTCTTTGCAACTATAGAACCAACGTTGATAGACCTTTTTAATCAGAATAAAATAAATATATTTATTTAAAATAGAACAATGGGTTTTCTTTAGTTTATTGTGAAGGCACTTTTGTCATGTCGTGTTGATATTCCGTCTTTGCGTATTGCCGAGTTATCTTGTCTTGTGAGCAGGTATTGATTGTTACGTCATTGGTTTGTGTGAGAAAATTTCGTCGTTTTCTCAAAAATTGATGACGTTGCTCTCACAAACAAATGACGTAACAATCAATCCCTGCTCACAAGAGAAGATAACTCTGCAATACGTAAAGACGGAATAGGACCATTGAAGCTGATACTATCATTCTATGAATTTAAACTATAACAGGCTATTGTAGACGTCAGTGTCTAATGAGAGCAGCGGTTGGGAAAACAAGTAAACGTGATAGTGCCTTTAACGGCCGTACATAACAAACGTGTCAGCGTCTATGGCAACCTATTGCTTAACAGCGTCAAACAACAATAAAGCGAAATCGTCTTTAACGGAAAACATAGGCAGTGTTGGAAGCGGCGATATGTAACAATCGTAACATCAATCTGGAGAAAACGTCAGCAAAGTTAACATGGCCTTAACGCTATAAAGTACAACTAGAATTAATTTATCATTATATACGACACATCAACATGTGGTAAAACGCTCTACTTAGCTAGGCTTTACCGTGTTATGACATTGTACAATATAAATTTGGGATTAATCCCCGATTGTTTGTGGGGAGACAAGAAAGGATGTGATATATTTTTAACGTTAAATAGGGGAGAAAAAGTAACACATAATTTTGTGTCTGTTAGTCAGGAAGTAGCATTTGAAAACATCAACGTTTACAGCACTGTATTGGTATTGATTGAATTGTTAAGAGTATTGTAAATATTTAAGATGGGGTGAACATTATAACTGGGAAGTGATATAGATGGTATAAATTGTGGAAATTACACTTTGAAATGATAATTTGTTCACTTTTCGTTGCATATAGGTGTGGTCTCGGGCTCTACAGTTACAGGCAGAACTACCCTTGTATTGCTCCCTGGCTAGTTCCCCTCCACGTGATCCGTACAACATAAATACTAACATAGGATTAAGCGCACGGGGCAACATTACTACCATACTTCTCGGATGGATGTTGGAAAAACAACATTTCATACCACAACTTGCAACGTGCATCCGTCTTCAGGAATGTAAAAGATTTTTGACGGTATGTGGTGATAGAACATTAGTTGTAACACCCCAGAGTATAAGTATAACCATTTACTGAATAACTATCTTAAATATCTCTAACGATATATATATTTAAGTAAATAGGTCAAAGAAGTAATATCAACGGTCAATTTCCATATAACACTGAATCAAAATAATTAAAATTGTTAAACGGAGCGAGGACTTCCTTGCCCGAATATTTTAGTAAAGGTATATCCGAACTATTATTGATTTATATATTTATTTATAAATAGATATAACAATCCTGTTTGTTATACTGGTATCTTATAAAGGTACTCTGTTTTATATAAATGTCGTTAATTTTGTAGTACTTACATATTTACACATCTGAACGATACACACTGATCTTAATAACACACTGATATACTTTTGTTGAAGATGATCCATGCTCAACATAGAGCAATCGGTTGTGCTTTCACAAATCAATGTCGAGTAGGGAATGCACACGTGAATCTTCTTGTTTGCAAGTACGGCACAAGGTGAGTATAATAATTGCTATATTACAATAAAAACCTTCACCTAACGTAAAGATCCTGATATACCTTGTGTGGTACCGCTGTATACAACTGAAGGTGTTGACGAAAGATTGAAAATATCAGAGGAAACAGATACATAATGCATTAGGTTGAGTGGGGGAAGGGGCAAAATATGAATTAAAATATATGTATTGAGACCATGAAGTACAAGACCAGGTGTTCCAGAAGGGTCAGCGAATTTTGTGTATCCTTAGTGCCTATGCCTGCTCAGAAAAAGACAGATGAATCGAAATTGGATTTAAATACTGTGTCAACATCAACACTTTTCTGACAACATGTGCGTAATTTAAACTAGTGTATTGTGTGTTACATTGTATGATTCGTTATAAATGTACATTCCCATACGACTTTCATAAATGCAATACTTTCTATGATAACATAAATATAAGCGAATGAAACAATCAGTTAGAAATTACTATCTGATCAGAATATAATCACAGGTACATCGTCCAGGCTAGGCAAAACATTGTAGTGCACGCCTTAAAAAAACACTGGTATTTGAAGTACTCAAGATGAAATCAGACAATTATCATTATCATGATAAAGCTATTTGCGCTTTGTAGTTACCCCAGTGCACACGCTTGTGAACACCATTGGACAAGCTTGTTCACTTAAGTGAACAAGATTGTCCAATGGAGCTCACTTTTCTTATTAACTCCAGTGAACTTAACTACCATGGTACAATGTAAGTTTGTTTGGTATGATTTTGTTTTGTTTAACATGCTTTTAACAGCTAAGGTCATTCAAAGACGTGCCTCCATGTGCGTGCTTCCGTGTGTGTGTGCAGGAAACAGGGTATGTGTGAAGGCACCAAGCATAGAATTCCGCCCGATCACAAAAAGCTGATACCGGGTGAATCAGTTGGTATGTCCTGGCCTGGGGACAGAACCCATTGCCTTCCTCACCTGGGCGAAATGTCAACATTCAAGCCAAAAGTGAGGTGTTGCTAAGTTGTTAGAAAATAAAAGGTAGTTAGAAGTAGAAAGAAATATAAAGATCCCAAATATTGCAACGGGCGCACGCCAAATGTATGAATATAAACCTATATTCACATGTCTCCCTTTTTCAGCTTAGTAAACTCTGATTGCGTGTAGATTAGTGTATACGAAGTGAAAAAAGGCTCGGCGGATTGATACTTGTGTAGGAGTCTGGGTTGGTAGGGTGTGTATAGGCATATACTGGTACTGTATGTATGTATGCATGCAAGTTACTATCGGGGTGTGCATGTGGATCAGTCATTATGTGCGGGCGTGAATGAATTGAAAGCTGTATTAAATACCTTGTGCCTGTCATTTATGTATTACTGTCGCTGGAATTTGTAGACTGTCACTCGTGTCGTCCATGTTGTTTATCTACCTTACTTTTTCCGTTACTGTCCAGAAGCTAGACCTAAGCTGATTGACTCATGACTCGAACGTGTTATCTTGTCTGTCATTGGCTGCCGGTTTTACTATAAACACGGCATTACACGTGCAAATCTTCAGTTAGGTGGTAGCTCTGTGAGCTGAATCTAACTCTTCTATCTTGTCTGTCCTTCTCTTAACAGGTCTGTTTTTATAAGGTGGGTGTCTGAATGTGCAACGTTACCTGTGTTTGTGTATGTCCCGGGCGAAGCCAAGTAGCTGACCCGCTATGTAAAGTATGTGTCCCAGCGGTGGCCATAGGTTAGGGCCCTCGTCGTGTTCTTGTGTGCATGTTTGACACCTATCTAATGTAATAAAGTCTAATAAATGTTATGTGTACGCTAGTAACCACGTGGAACCCCAGACTAGAACCTGGGTTGGCTTATACGGTGACTGAGGTCACTCCTCCTACACTTGTTTTAAATAAGGTGCCGTTCACGCTTCAGCAAGATAACAGTCCAATGACAACCAATTCTTGGTTTATTCCCTATCTAGATACAAAGAACATGTTCGGGATCCATTATGTCTAATCATACAACATAAGAATGCCGCCAAACTTCTTATTCCATGGATACACATTCAAATATCTTCGGCGGTAACGTCAACAATGGCGGCTTTGTTCTGAAACACTCGACCGCGTAACTCCATAAGCAGGGTACCAATGTGCGTGCGACCGTTGCAAATGAATAGAAAAGTTCGAAGGGCTTCTCACATTGCTTAATTTAAAATTGAAAAACCATGAAAGGAAACAAATAGTTTAGTTCACTGCGTATTTTCTAAATGTACTCGATGTATATTCACTGGTACTATATTGTCCTAGCAACCTCGGCTACCGTAGTTACCATCGTGGCAACCCGCTTCGACTGTTTCCCGCGTAATGTATCGTATAAGGATTGACCTTCATTTTGACGGCGTATACGGTAGTATGAACGCAGTTGGCAACACACATATTCTTAATGGAGCGCTAACGCGCACCATAGAATATAGTCGTTGCCTACTGCGTTCATACTACGCATACGCCGTCAAAATGAAGGTCAATCCTTAAGTATGACTTATTAAGCCCCTATTACGAAGTTTTTGGTTATAAAGGAATCGTTCTTCCGTCCGTCTGGCATGAACCTTTTTAGCGCAACAACTCCTAAATCGTGTGAAGATGTCGTGTTTTCCCCCTGGAGTTAGGATCTCTGAGTCCCTCCAAAAACCTTGCAAGGACAACTCCTACTTAACGAACTGTAAGATGTTTGGAAACTTGATATATTAAAAGTTAAACTATGTGTGTAGATGGGCACGAAGAAAGGAATTTTCCATACAACAATCTTTCCTGTATCTATTGCCGTTGACACTCCAAATTCTGTTCCAAGAAACCGTATATGCACATACATTAAGCGTTTATTCACAATTTCATACATAAATCATGACATGTATTGCTTATTTCATACATTATCACATATCATTTCTGAATAGTAAGCTATATCATTGATATTATAGCTGTGATGTAGATCTGTTTTCGTTTTCCAAATTAACAGTTAAAAAAACGTGTGTATCATTTTTCTTTGTCTTAGTGAAGGTCCCATCGTCCCAGCATATAAGACAGGACTGCCATGCACAAAGTGCAAGGAGGATGTGTCGTTCTGTGAACAAGGTCTTTGCGGTACGTACTTATGCACGCATAGTATTGCATTAGTTACATTTGAATATCAACAGCTTTGCGAGAAGTGATGATGACATTTCGAAAACAATTGTAAAATCATAGATTTATTTCTTAATCAATTCGAAATGCTTAAAAGATCATGGTTCAAATGCTTTATCAGAAGAAAAGTTTTTGATAGAGATCATTGTCAACTGAATTAAGTGGAGTAAGTTAAAATACATTTATCGCACTCTTCACTCTATTTAGTGTCTTTTCATATTTTTAGTATCGTGTTCACACGCTGCTAATCGGTGTGGTAAGTAAACATATACTAATCTCTACCCGATATCAACCATTTGTTTTAGAATAATCAGTAATAATTTGAAGAAAAAAAAACCTTTTTTAAACTTTAGTATTCCGATGCAACAAGCTAAAAAGCAATTATTGCTACTGCTAAAAACGAATGTACAAGGTTTGATACTTTTCACGCAATATTGAAATTTTACTATTCATACTGCGAATGCTTACAGGATACAATTCTTAAAATATTCATGTGTGTGAAATCCAGGTTGACAAGTGAAGTAACAAGTTGACATTTGCATGAAGTAGTAAAATGTTAATCTTCTTTCGATAAAGTGTTCGCATTTTGAACAAACTTTATGATTCTCGTTTATTGTAAATAGTTTTACGTATTTGCTCTATAGTTAGCAAGAACAAATATTACATGTATTCACTCACTTAAACAAATATGCACATATGCACTCATACACATGCTAACTTCACATACATATATGTATAAATATGACACAAGCCACACCCTGTTATAGCACCTATTCAATTATATGTGGTGATAGATACAGTATGACAAAATGAATTTACTGCACCATACAGCTGTTTCGTCCTGCACCAGCTATTAACTGCATAAAAGTAATGTGGTCATTCAGACAATTTGTACATACAAAATATATAAATGACGAAATGCCATAGTATTATACAATTCGCCAAATATCTCATTATGGTATCCATATTGATTTACCTGTTTTATTGTCAATGTTTAATTAAACTATACAGTTGTTTATCTAATATTCTGATACTTTAACACTATCAAATAACACCCCATGTGATAGTCGTTTAATTGTGCAAAAGAAACAACATATCTAATCTTTATTGCCATACATATTTATTCTGGGTAATCATTTTCCTATAAAGCAAGTTTTAAGAAAACTAAATCACCCTAAAGGATATAAGCATAATAGCCCTTTTCGCGATTGAGATATATTAAGGATTGTTTTTAACAGATTGTCGAAAAACATGCAACAAACAAGCCATTGGCAGCGGTTCACTTGATAATACCACGTGTACTTGTACGTGTGAGTACGGCTTGGGACCAAACTGTGATGGTAAGTTATCATGTTATCACATCATTCTTCTCCTAACCAAGATCACATAATCATTATCTAAGTGAAATAACAAAGAAATAGCGATTTGATAACAGCATTAAATGATACAATACTGTATTGTTACATAGTACAGAACACCTTTATCAACGATTTATTATTAGTAGACTTTAGAGTAACGACAACACTTTATTAGATTTATCAAGATTTTGTAATTAGCTTATTCATGGTTTTTTATATAGTTCAATTAGATATACTCATACAATATATTTGAACTTTATCATCATATATGTTTTTATTGAAATAGGTTTATTATGTAGTTGAATTAAAACAATCACATAACAGGTATATATAATTTATCGTTCTATATATTATCATTGCAGAGGACTGTGTAAATCCAGAAATGTACGAGGACTGGGATGTTTGCGCTGCAATCACTCACCAGGATTGTCAGACAGCTGATGCCGAGGAAAGAGCAATCCTTCGGGAGATGTGCCCAGTTCAATGCACATGCAGTATGTGTATATTGATGTACATATTTGAGCTATTATGTCCTATGTTACATATAGTACATACATAGGACATGGATCAGTGTTGCATGTAGTACATTGATTCCATTTCACACTCAGCAGAAATATGAAATTATTGGTAGAGAAAATAGTTGGAAACTATCCACTAAAACTGATGTCAATACAAAAACATTGACGGCAAAGATTTGAAAGTATAAATGAATCAATGTCAGTTTATGTAGTTATCTCAGAAAATCTTAGTGATAGCTCTCGTATGATTGTGTAAAAGTGCATGTAAGGAAGCTTATGCAGTTTTGTCCTACACGTTTCCAAACGTCAGAGTCGCATGGCACACGATATTTTCATTCTCCAGCAGCAAACGCTTTTGGTGCGGTCGTTACCAGGGTGCTGTAAAAAATATTTGTAGTTTGTTTTTATGAAATGATAAACAATTTTCTGGTTTTCTATGGATTCCAAAGAATAATCTACAAGCAGAGTCAACCACTTCGTCTTGTTTAATAATCACTATATATACGGAGCAATAATGTGTTATGATGGAAACTTTGCCTGTTTATACAACAGAGAGCGAATTTGATTTGAGAGACATTGAAGAGTCACACTAGACTAGAATCAGGATACATGATGTTATGGATTATCATATAGCAGCTTTATACAGATTTAATTTGTATTACCTTGAGAACTTTTTCGTTATGCTTCAACTCGAGAAACATTCTATATTAATATTACAGGTCTTAAACTTGTTTTTGAAAACATCACTGTCTCTTCAATTTTAGGCTATCTGAACGCTGTTGGTCTATTTGCCCATAATCCACATATTTCTGCATTTCTCCAGATATCTGTGTTGGATGTATCTGCAATAAATACGCTTTGTACATCTTAACTCGAACACTATTATTTTGTTTCTGATCAGGTCGTCATCCAGAAGCAAGTTTGAGGCAGAATGATGCAAACGCACCAGCTAAATCAGAAGTTTGAAGAATTATTGAAATACTGCGACGGAATATTACCATGGTTTAACATTTCCTAGCATGTTTCGGGATTGTGTAGATCAATAGATGAGTTTTTCAGAATTGTATAGCAGTGTTAGTTAACTATGTTGGACAGTGTTGGTTTATTTTGTGAACAGTATACTGACATCAGATACAGGAACAACATTGTACTATGTATGTTTAACATGAAACAAATTACTTAAAGCATTCACCTGCAGGTAATTTTAGCATCTTATGTTGTTCCGATAATGATAAGTATGTGCACACGTGCATTAGTATAGTTTTTCCGACATTGTCTATTTCTCTATGGTGACAGATTCTAGACGTACACAACGATTTGTATGTGTGCAGTAGACATGCACTCACTAATATATGGGTACATTTTAGCTATATACCATACACATTTGTTTTACATTTTATGTCTTTAATTAAATCAAAGTCTCGTTAATTTTTCTTGTTGTTATTCTTTAGTTTTTCGTTTTTGTTAGATTTTTTGCGATTATATATCAGCTAAAAATATCGTGGAACTTTTTTTTTTTTTGATTTTGATTGACGTCCTATTAACAGCTGAGGTCATTTAAGGACGGCCTCCCCTGTGTGCAAGATGCATGCGTGTAATGTATGTATGTGTATTTTGGGAGGCTGCGATATGTTCGTGTTTGTCTCCTTGTGAAAGCGCGGAACTGATGCCGACTTTATAGTGCTAACTCACTGAAACATACTGCCGAAGACACCCAGCAGGACGCCCCAACCGGTCACATTATACTGACAACGGGCGAACCAGTCGTCCCACTCCTAATTTGCTGAGCGTTAAGCAGGAGTATAAACTACCATTGTTAAAGACTTTGGTATGTCTCGGCCAGGGGACAGAACCCAAAGCCTTCCTCACAGGGGCGAACGCTCAACAAATGGCCAAAAGTGAGGCATTGTCAAGGGAGACATTAGGAAGAAGAAAGTTATTTAGAAAGGAGAGAAGAGATAAGGTCCCAAATTTAGTCGCCTCTTACGATCATGCAATTGGGGGCAGCAGGTACAATTCTTACGCCCTACCTGCAGGGTCTTATCGTGAAACACACTACTGAATTGCGTCCTTTTAAATTCTACTTTTTTATATACAGCAAGGGGTACTACAACGCACCAAAAATAGCGTGCGCACATCGTGCATACATCGTGTACACACCGTCGACATCGTCCACACATGGTGCGCACAACTGTGTGATTTAACAATCGTTCGCCCCGTTGTGCGCTTCTCTTTACATTATTAGCAACACTTTTGTAGGCACATAATACCAGATAGCAGAAGGCGGTCGAATCGCACAGAGGAAATCATTCAAATTGTCGCACAGTTGTTGAGGTTTGGTTGGTCGAATTTTGTTTAACGTCCTATTGACATCTAAGGTCATTTAAAGACGTCCTCCATGTGTGTAGTGTATGCGTGCTTGCAAGTGAGTGTTCAGGAGACAGTGCATATTGATGTGCTTGCCTCCTTGTGATAGTGCAGATCTGATGCCGACTTTATAGTGCTAGCCTACTGAAACACCATGTCAAAGGCATTCCGCCCGGTCACATTATACTGACAACGGGTGAACCAGTTGTTGCTATTAATCTTAATGCTGAGCGATAGGGATGGAATAACAACTACAATTTTTAAGGACTTTCGTATGTCTCGGCCTGGGGACAGAGGCCATTGCCTTTCTCACCTGGGCGAACCCTCAACATTCAATTCAAAAGTGAGGTGTTGCCAAGCAAGGCGCTAGGAAATAAAAGGTAGTTAGAAGTAGAAAGAAAGATACGGATCCCAAATCCAGGATCGCAATGGGCACAGCAGATTTATTTTGGTCGCTTTTGTGTTCCCAAATAAAAGACACCAAAGCAAATCCCTAATTCTGCAGGGTGTTCAATCATTAGTCGCCTCCTACGTTACATGCCGTGGGTAACAGCATCAACACAACATGACAAGGAATGCCACACCATTAACACACCATAACAAGGTTTACCACATCATCAACACACCATAACAAGGTTAACCACATCATCAACACAACATGACAAGGTATATCACAACATCAACACAGTAGGACAAGATATATAAAACATCAACACAACACGACAAGGTATAATATCACAGCATCAACATAACATGACAAGGTATACCACAGCATCAACATAACAGGTCAAGATATATCGCAGCATTAACATAACAGGACAAGGTATACCACATCATCAACACAACATGACAAGGTATACCACAGCATCAACACAACATGACAAGCTATATCACAACATCAACACAACAGGACAAGGTATATCACAGAATTAACACAACATGATAAGCTATATAACAGCATCAACACAAGATGACAAGATATATCAAAGCATCAATACAACATGACAAGGTATATCTCAGCATCAACACACGTGACAAAGTAAGCCATACCATCAACACAACAGGACAAGGATTACCACAGCATCAACAAAACAGGACAAGGTATATCACAGCATCAACACAACATGACAAGCTATGTCACAACATCAACACAACAGGTCAAGGTATATCACAGAATTAACACAACATGACAAGCTATGTCACAACATCAACAAAACATGACAAGGTATATCACAGCATCAACAAAACAGGACAAGTTATGTAACCATATTAACACAACAGGACAGGATATACCACAGTATCAACAAAACGAGACAAATTATACCACAACATCAACACAATAGGGCAAGATATACCATAACATCAACACAACAGGAGAAAGTATACCACAGTATCAACACAACAGGACAAGGTATTCCACATAATCAACCAAACAAGATTAAATAAACAACAGCAGCAACAAAATAGGACAAAGTATACCACAACATCAACACAATAGGACTAAATATACCACAGCATCAACTAAAAGGATAAAGTATATAACAGCATCAACACAGCATGATGAGGTATACCACGGTGTCCACAAAATTGGAGAATATATATTACAGTATCACCACCTTAGGATAGGATATCCCATAGCATCAATACTACAGGAAAAGAAATATCACAGCATCTGCACCACAATACAAGATATACCAGATCATCCATACCCATTGACATGATAAATGTACCACAGCATCAACACAAAAGGACAAGAAATATACAATTTTCAACACACTAAGATGAGATATACCACAGCATCAACATCAACAGACAAGATGTATACCAAATCAGTTATGTAACTAGGAATTTTGAAAATTTTGAAAATTACATGAATATCTTCGGTTAATTCAAAATCAAAAACACTGAAACTAGGCGACATATCAAAGGGTAAACTATTTAAATAATACCGTCTGATTGGTTGTTTTTTTTGGTTTATGTGCGGTTTTGCCATCCGTCTTCGTCCGCCGTCGGTTATGCGCCGTCCATTGTTCGTTAACAATTGAACTTTTTCGACTTCTTCGTAACCGCCTGTGCAATTGACTTTAAATGTTCCTTATGATGTCCTGACCAAGAAATGTGTTTTTGTTGTATCCGATCCAAAAATCTGCGATGGTCGCCCTGGCATCTGATTGGCCGAGACGTTTTCGATTTCTTCTCGAGAACAACTGCAGCAATTTCCTCCTTTCTTGGTACAATGATTCTATGAGGTTATGCATTTTGTGCTGATCTGAAAATACTAGATGGGCCGCCCTCGCATCTAATTGGGGAAGACATTTTCGACTTCTTCTCAAGAACGTCTCAAGCGTTTCAATTCTTATGTTGTTCATTGTTTGATTGAGGCCCAGAACAAGTGTTCCTACTTTTGATGCCGATCCAAAAATTCAAGATGAACGTTTTGGCTTCTGATTGGCTGAGACATTTTCGATTGAGTGCCGATAACGACATTTTCGACTCATTTGAACTCATGTGAGCGTTAAGGCTCTTCTTCTGATTAACGTCCTATTAAAGGGACATCACGGTGAAGTGTATTTATTTTTGTCTTTTTTTTCAAATACTACATAAACATATCAAGTCGGACTCCTTATGGAAAATAACGATCGAATTTGGCTGATATAGATTCATAAAAATAAATACTTTTGAGATAATCATCGTGATTTCTACCTGTCTGCCCAACGTCCTCTTCAGGGATTTCCCTCTAATAGCGCATGCGCATAGCACACCATTTCTTCGTAAACAAAATGACTGGCCGTGTGAAGTAAGCGAAAGAAAATCGTTGCACCGCGTCAGCCATGGAGCGAAAAGTTGCCAAATGGTCAAAATATAGTGCAAGGAGTACGTTACCGAATCATTATTGCAGGTGGGGTGTAATCAAAGTAGAAAGTTACTGCCCTAACAGTTGGAGCGATGCATGTTTTCTCCCGGATAGCCGGTTAAAAGCTGAAATAGAATCGACAGAAATACTAGCGCTGTTTATGTTATGAATACATAACTAAAACTATTAACCTCTCTAGTATCTTTGTCCGAGTTTGTACACATATGAACTTATTTCGTTATGTTATTGGACATGTATCGCATAACAAAAATATTTTTTAAATCGTAATGTTTCAACAGTTCATGTTTTCACATGATGTTGACTTAGAATGTATGATCATGCAATAACTGTTTCTCTATAAATAATTAATTATCGACTTCATACAGAATCGGAATTCGCATTGAAAACGGGGAAAAATCATTTGTTTGTGAAGTTTCTCAACACGTTCAATATTTGACACATATCCTACATGTACACGTAGTGGTTTTGCCATACAGTTTATTGCGTGTGATGGCTAATATGATTTACTAAGTGTTAGCGTATGGAGACAGTGAAAGTTGGAAAGAGATTATACATAAAAACATGTATGCATGGTCTAAACAAAATTGGCCAAAGACATTGAGTCGTACGGTCAGACCACCTGTGTTTCCTGTCTCATTTCAAAACCGTCAGGTGACGGTATTAGCGCTATTTTTTACAGGGTTTTTCCGAACAATTCAAGTGGTCAAACTGGACATTTGGAACGGACTATGAATATGGGGATAGCGAGGTAACATAGTAGTAGAGTTCCCACAATGGGGTCCCGTGATCACTCTTCCCGGACCAAGGTTTAAGATTTGATTTTAGTCAATTTGAGGGTGCTGATTAAAATGAGCTGGGGTGAACCTCGTGAAAATGTGAGCTAACTCGGCCAGACGCGAAAATTCAAAATGGCCTTCACCCGTCGTTAGGTATATCAAAAAATACATATCTTTGCTTCTAGATGTCCGTTTTATATGCTTTTTGGGTCTTAGTATATGTTTGAATGGTCAGGGATTTTATTTGTTAGTATAATGACTTGATTAAAGTAAGCTTTAGAACGAAAAATGGTCTGTTATTGTTTTGCTGCCAAAAACCAGGATAACCGCAAGGTGACTGCAAATGAAAAGACACGGAAGACACTCTTAATGGTTTGGATGCAAAGTTTTCATCT